ATTAGATTAAGATATTTGTAATTATAATCATACTAGTATGATTAGCAAATTATAAAGCATCTGTGTAACTAGTTATACAGAAGAATGCAAACTGGCATCAGGCAGTGCAAACCTAAAATAAGTTTTTGTAACTGTATAAATCTATAAAAATTAAAAAATAAAAAGCCTATTTAAAAAGATCCAAGTAGAAAAATAATACATATATTTGTTAATATTACTGTAAAGGCTAGACCTAGAAAATAGATATTAATATAAAATATCTGAACAGACAAAAACCTCTAGATAAGAGATACTACCAACCAGATTACTAAAATTCTAATTAAAAAAAAACTAAAAAAAAAGAATATTAAGCTAATCTAATATATTAATAAACTAGTTATAATTTTATTAGACTATTTGGATTAAGAGTTTAGAAAAAAGACAAAAGTATACTAAAAGTATTAGGAATATGCTATAAAGTAAGTGCTAGGGTCTGTGTAAACTCTGCAAGAACAAGCTCTGTTAATAGTCTATAGAGTAAGTAGATTAGTTAACAAAAAGGTTCTTTAAGCTCTATAGTCAGATAATGTACTTTGAAATTAGGTAATAGCTTAATAAATATGCAAAAAAAAAATATAATATTGGGTTAAATAACACTTAAATGTATAATAACTAAGGTAACTAATTGGCTAGATGCAGTATAGAAACCAATATGTTTAATTAGATAGTCTTCTAGTAGATTATAGATATAATAGCTAGTATAAAACTTTTAAATAAACTACTTAAATAGATAATTAAAAGTTATATATATGGCTAGTTGTATACTTACTCTGTATAAGTAATATTTAATATATTAACTAAAAATACAAATAAAAACATTAGTTATTATTAACATCAGTCTTAATAATAATAATAAAGTTTTATTATATACATATTACATAAATTCACTAAGATTTATTATAAAATTAAAATTTATAATTGATAATATAAAATATAATATTATATTATAAATAAATTAATATTAATTTATATATTTTGTTTTATAATATTATTTTATATTATTTTTCTTTTATTTTTAAACACTTTTCTTATATAAAATCTATATTCTAGTTTATATTCAATATATATATTCTATTTTATTGTTTATATCAACATATATCTAATTCTATTTTTTTTTTAAATAATAACAGTAAGGTTATACCTTTAATTTTATTAAAATTTAATTATAGTTTTTATAAAAAAAAGCTTGCTTTTAAATTATATATAAAGAATAAAAACTCAGACATATAATTTGCAATCTAAACTTACAAGAATAGCCAAAGCTTATCTAGATTTGAGTTTAAGTAATAATATAAGAAAAAGAGATATGATATTTAATCTATTAAATAGTTTAAAAATTAATTTTAGTAATAATTTATAGTATTTAAATAAAAGGTAAAAATAAACTAAAAGATAAACTATAAGTTAAATTAGTAAAAAGTATAATTTAAGACTATGCAAAATATAAAATATAATATAAAATTCATATTTGTTTGTATATTTGTTAATTTAAATGATGAAAAAGTTTAATAAAAAAAGTAGTAGCAGTATAATAAGAAATAGAAGTATTGTAAATAATAGAAATAAAATCAGTAGAAACTAGACCAAATTAGGTAGAAATAAGAGAAAATATATAAGAAAAGTTATACAGTTTAAAACTTTTAAGTGTAAGCATTTCAACATATAAATTAAAAACAAAATTGGCAAACATATTAAAAGTAGTTGTATTTAAAATATTATTAAGAAAATTAGAGATTAAGTAATAAATTCTTTGGGTTAAAAAACAAATATTCAAATGAAGTAAAAAGCTAATTTGGTTGTATTAATAACAAAAAAAAGAAAAAAAAGAGTTATATTTGTAAAAATATAAGAAACAGAAAATTCATTTGTAAGAATTTTAACTTAAAAAGTTTTTAGAATAGATAAGTAAAAGTTATAAGCAAAGTTAAAGATTTTTGGTTGTTGTTAATATAAAGCTATATAGCTTTCTAGTTGATATTAGATGCAATGATAAACTATTATTAAAAATAATGTTAAAATGTTTAAAGTGTTATAATCTGGACTTGAAATATAGTTTAGATAGAGTATTGAATAAAAATTTTAATAGAAAATTTATTAATAAAAGAAGTATAATTGAGGTTATAAGAATTGTTAGTTAAGAATATTAAATAAGATAATATTTAATAATTATAGGCAAAGTGATTAGCAAAGTTGTTAAATAGATTATTTTAGTATACAGTAACTTTGTGAAAAGTAAGCTAAATATTATAAGAGTTAATAAAATTAATAAGAGTTTGCCAAATAGAAAAATATAATATGTGAGTATAAAAAAAAGTAGATACTAATAGGCAAAAATTATGATATTTGAAAAGTACTAATTATAAGTTAGTAAATATATAGACAAAGCAGTATCTAAAAGCAGTAATAATTGCTAAAAGAATAGCAAGAATTTTGGCTTTAAAAAAGTATAGCCAAAGCTTAACTTGTGTCTGAAATGAGTTAATAGTTATAAAGTTGTTAACTTGAATCCAACTTATGCTTATAAAGCATTGAGAAGTACTAAGAACAATAACAGAACCATCAGTATAAAATAAAATAGATAATAGGTTATAATTTGAGTTAGCAATAATCTGAAGATTATTAAAAAGTTAACATGATTTAAAGATAAAAAGTAGTTGTTGTAGATTAATTATAAATGAAAAATATATAAAAGATATTAAAGAGCTACAAAATATATAATATTAAGAAAGTTTGCATAAAGGTTAAGAGTTTTGTCAAAATTGATATGACAAAGTAGTTAAATAGCCAAATTAGTAAAAATAAAAATAGTATATTTGTTAGTAATTATATTTAAGTTAAAATAGCATTTAGTATATAATATAATAGTAAAAAAAATAATAAGATAAAGATTAAAGAACTGAGACTGAAATAAGCATGTTAGTGATTGATAAGAGTAAAGCCAGTAGGTATATTATGCCTTCTGACCTTACTAATAATTATTTAGTTATTAAGAACAGTAAGTAGCCAAAATTTAGTATTAGAGGTAAAATAATCAATAAAGTAGCAAAAATAGTTTACAAAAAGTAAATTATAATAATTATATAAAGTGCATTGATAAAAGTAATTTGTAGTAATGTACTTAAAAGTAGTAAACCATTATGGTATAACATCTTTAAAAATTTTGTTAAGTCTAGATAAAATGTGTTGTCAATGTAATAAATATAAATAAATATAAATAATAAGTTAATACAAAAAAAAAAGTTTATGATGTCTGAGTTATTTTTTAAAAATAGAATAATTTAGATGAAAAGAAAGAAGAGATTTAAGAAAGATAGTTTCATTATTTAGAATGTATAAAATATTGTAAATTGGACTAGTTGAAAAAGTCCAGTCTATGTGTTTAATAAGCTATATTATTTTAAAGTTTGTAGTTAAGTAATTAGGTTTATCAATAATTGGCTTAAATATAGAAAAATATTAGTAAAAGACTAAAAGTTGTTTTGAAGTTGTTAAATTTGTATATAAGTAGAGTTGAGTTAATAGAAATATACCAAATCTTTTTTAGTAAAATATTTTTACAACTTTAAACAAAAGTAACTTAGTAAGAAATTATTCAAATTTAATAAAAATTTTTTAAATTTTATAAGAAATTAGAATTAAATTAAAAAAAAATTTATTAAATATAATTAAGTTTTTGCTAAGTTATTTGGACTTAAAGTTTCAAAAAAATTTATTTAAAAAAAATTTAGTGCATTTCTATTAACTTATTCCAAAGTAGATATGTTTAGTAGGTCAAAATTGTTAAGTTATTTGAAAAGATTGAGAATGTGATATTGTAGTTAAATGTTCTAAATATGTTTAATGTTATAAATTTGAGAATGTAATAGAATACTAAAAGATATTGTATAACAAAATTTGGCTTTTAGCTTAACAAAACCAATATGCTAAATAAAGATGTTGCAAGTAGATTTGTTAATAATAATATTATACAAGCAGTATTAATAGTAGAAATAATAACTATATTGATAATGTAGTAAGCATATAAATTAGTTATATATTAGGTTTTTGCAATTTGAATAAGTTAGAAAAATTTAGAAATAATTAGTTTTGTTTGTTTAAATTGTCTGTTATCTAAAGTAATCCAAAAATCCAAAAATTTAAAGAGTTATTTAAAAGAATAAAGTAAAAGTAAGTAGTTGTTATAAGAGATAGAAGTATAGTAAGATAAATAATTATTAGTAACCAAAATAAATTTTAAAAGATTAACTTGAATATTAGCTATAGTATAAAATAATTTAGCTATAAATAATATATAAGAAAGCTCAGTTTGTAAAAAAACAACTCAAAGAATATTATTTATATATATCAGAACAGAACATTGTTTTTGTAATTAATTAGATATTTGAAGTTTTAAATTAGTGGTCCAAGTAGATTGTAAAGTATAATTAGATACTTTTGAGTATATATATAAAATAAGTAAATTATAATAGATATATCATAATAAAAATATAATTGTTTTATCTTAGCCAATACTATTATAAACTAGATAAAATAAAATAAAACCAAAATTCATAATAACTTGGTTGTGACAATTAGTAAGAAAATTAGAAAGAATATTAATAGCTTTGTTTGTTTTTATTGTTGCAAGTTATTCTTAATTATTTAGTTATAATATTTTAAATATGCCTAGTTGCAATTTGATATTTGTTTCTATAAAAAAAAAATTTAAAAAAAAGAGTTTTTTAGTTACTTTATTTTTATTTTATTTTTTTTAATTTTATTTATTTATTTTATTTTTTTATTTATATTTTTTTTTTAATTTATTTTTATTTATTTATTTTTATTTTTTATTTTTTATTTATCATTCATGCATCTATTTTTATTTTATTTTTAATTTCAATTATTGCAAGTTTTAATTTTTTTGCTCTTAAGAAGCTTTTTTCTTGCAGGTCTTCATTTATTAGTTCTTTTATTTTGCAGGATTACTGTTTACTAGGAGGTAGACTAAATTTTTCTATCAACTTTTCTAACTCTTCATTTTTTAATTTTCTATCTTTTATTGTTTTACTATTATCATTGGTTTTAGAGTTTTCTTGATTTGAATAACTTTATTTAATTATATTACACAATATATAAATGAATTTCTTTAGTAGTACTAACTCTCTAGTAATAGAGATTATAAGTTAACATTTTGTGGCATCTGCTATATTAGTATAATAACCTTTAAGATCATATTTATATATCATAGACATTGTAACTTAGGATGCAGTTATGTCATTATAAGCATTTCTTTTTAAATAAAAAACTATATTATTACTATTAGAAGTGCTAGAATCTTGAACTGAAGTTGTGAAAATACTGAAGAGTAATGATATAAGAAGATCATAGATTGATGAATAGTCTTTTGTAGTTTGAATTTTAAAGAAGATATTTTGCTTAATAGTAATCTTGGATAGTAAAAGGAAAAAAAAAAAACAATTAAGTAAGTGGATAAGTAAAAACTAAAAAAAAGCAATATATAATATAACATTTCTAATAGTAGTTAATTATTCAGAACAATATATATTTTTAAATTTTTTTTTTTATATTCAATTTGCTTATAACCAAAGTAAATTAGTTAATTATTAATGAATGCTTTCTTTTGAGAGTTCCTTTATTTTTTTATTTATTTTTTTTTATTTATATAATATCATAGTAGAAACTTTAAAATACAATAAGAAATTTAATTACAGAAAAAAATTC